CTTAATTTCATTGACCCTCCACACGAGTTGAGGAAAAGGAGTTAAAAGAAGTACCCTGGCGAGCGCCAGGTGTACAGAAATTGCTCTTGCTCGACTAATAAGGGTCGACCGTGCAAAAGACTGCAGTTGGAACCCCCGCCAAGTGAATGAAAAGAAACAAAAAAAAAAGTAAAATGAAAGTGAAAAAGGGGTTCCAAAGGTGAAATGAAGTGAAAGAGAACCCCGGTACAATGAGTCTTTGGTTGTGAATTGTATGAGTCCCTTTATCCATGAACTGACTGTCTACTTCCACTGCTTCTCATGATCCTGGCTTGAGTCTAGTACTCGCACTGAGAGAGATAGGGAACGTCTTAGAAGACCAGTTGACCTCGTAAGCTGCTATATGATCTAGAAAATCCTCTACCGACGATCGGGGTTGTTTGTTGCTATAGAGGTCTTGAGAGCTGCATTGGTTTGAGTTAGGTTTGCTTGGGGACAAGCAAACGGTTAAGTGTGGGGGGATTTGATGACTCGATATTTGCACATGTTTTCCCCTTTGTTTCTTGATCGTTTAAGCTTACATTATCGCTTCTTTGGCCTATTTTACGCTAGGTTGTGTTCCTTTGTCACATTTCAGGTCCTAGCACATAAAGTGAAGCGTAGGCGCAAGTTTCAAGTCAATCGGAGATCAATTGGAGACTCGGGGGAAGAAACTCGGGTATGACTTGAAGAAGAATGGATTTCTACCTCAGTTTGTGACAATATAATCATGTAATCTTGTCAAGAGAAGAAAGAGGACGAGACTACGAGCGTCTGGGATCAAACGGCACCTGATTTGGAGTCCGAACGAGGGAGAAACGAAGAATCAAAGATAGGGGAAAATTGGTTTCGGGCTTCTCTGAGAAACAGAAGGGGGCCCTATCGTGACGCCAAAATCCCCGGTAGGGGATTTTTGGCCTTGATAGGGGATTTTCCCAAAAATCCCCTATCGTGAACCAAAATACCCGACAGGGGATTTTGACAGGGGATTTTGACAGCAGGCTGTTAAAAGCCTGTTTTGTGCGTTTTTGCAAGGGAGAGCTGGGTTTTGGATCCCAAACACCCAAGGGACGAACCAAAGAGAGAGAGGGCGATTTGAGGGCATTCTTGGAGTGGAATTGGAGGATTTCTTCGCCTTGGAAGCTCGAGGAACAAGCCCGGACTTGAAGACTGATCATCTGAAGATTCTTACTGCAATCTCTCTCTTCTCTATGGAGTAACTTCCCTTCACTTAGGTTTTGAGGAACCCTAGCTATGTTTGTTTGATTGGATGATTGTATGAGTACTCTGACTTGATAATCTTGAGTTCATATTCAATCTATGCATGTTTTCATGATTCAATTCTGCTTTAGTCGAGATTATTGATTCTGCTTTGATCCTATGAGAGCGAATACCTGATTAGGTCAATAGAGCACCATAGATTGATAGTATTGGATCGATTGCTTTAGTCGAGGGTTGATTCAATGCTTTGTATCGATTGAGAACCTCATTCGATAGTGGGAATCTAGTTCAGAACGCCTTGATCGGTTGTTCTAGAGAAGGATACGTCCCTCTAGGCAATTGACTCAAGAGGGCCTTGTTCCTTTAGTCGAGACTCAAGGTCTAGTTAAGGATTCTCCGCATTGTGAATGAAAGTGAAACAGTTAAGAGATCATTAATCATTAATCTGGCTAGTGGCTAGGGGGAATCATACCTAAGTGAGTTCCCAACCTGTGATTAAATTAACTTTAACTGTAGTTTGCTAGAGTAGTTTTAGTTCTTTCATCTTAATCTGGTTTGCTAGATAATGAACCGAAGCTGAGTAATAGTAACTCTAGAGACCCGTGGATTCAATATTTATTACTTGAGCCACTATACTGCAGTCCCTTTCATTGGTTACACTTGGCCATTGTTAGGAGTTGTGTCATAGCGAGTCACTCATCTACTTCATTTCAACTCAAGTTAAAAAATTGTATAGAAATAATGCATTCAGTAAGATCTGCACACTGATATCTATTTTGTTATGTTTTGTCAAACATAACAAAATGATAATATCATGATATGATAGTGATTGATAATATCATAGTGATAATATAATGATATGATTATGATATGATCTCATTAAATTATTTTGTCAAATATAAGACCTCGTACCAACATCATATCAGTGTCATATCACCATCATTAATTATTATCTATATAATGATATTCAATTTATTATGTTTTGTCAAACATAAGATCCCATACCAACATCATTTCAGTTTCATATCGTGATATTATCATGATAAGACGTTGATATGATATTATCAAAACATTTTTTCGAACATAAGGACTCATACCAATATAATATCACTATCATATCAACATTATATCGCTAGCATATCATCATTATACCATTTTGATATCATACCACTATTAGAAGCAATATAGAGATATGGCAGTGGTATATGATGACCTGAAAAATGTTTACTCCAAAATATATCATCTTGTTGGGCACAAAGAATCTGATTTTTGTGTGCAAATTTTTTTGAAGTACTATGTAAAATGAATGTGTTATAGTCCATAGAACTTTCGTATACAATTTGAAAATGGCCTAGGAATTTGTGTCAGCCCGCTCCAAATCCAGATAGCTGGCAGTAAATCTAGGTAGCCCCTCTTATTTTCTTCCTTTCCCTTTTATGATGTGGACCATTTGATCTTCCCTTCCCAAATTATAACCATTAGATTAGGTTTTGTAGGACTACAAATATTGGAAATTTTGTACCATAACATCTAAAAAATAAATACTTAACATGAGCTGCAATGAAGTGTCAGGACCATCCAAAACAGAATGAGTTGAGGAATTAACTTGAGAGGATGATTTTTTCCCTCTTTTTTAAATGGATATCACTTGCTTTCATGAAAGTGAACTTGAAAGTAGGATTGAAGGGGATGTTAGAGATGTGTTGAACAGTTGTTTTTCGAGTAAAGGACACTACATATGGATTGACAATCGCTCGGTATGTCAAACTGGTTGCTTTGATATCAAAGCTCGTGATTATGTAAACATGGTGCTCCTTCAGCAGTTGCTTGAACTTCAGTTGCAGCACCAGACAAATAAGAACACATATGTCATTGCCTTGGGTGCCATAAGAACACATATGTTACAAGCTGGAATATATTTCGCTATACAAAACAGGATTACCTTTGAATCCATGAGGATCAAGTCCAAATGGAGTACCTTGTCTGTGGTGACATTCACTCCAAGCCACAACCTAGAAACACGACAGTGCCATGACCATAGTTGCTTCTCCTAATCCAGGTTTCGCATTCTGTTGACTTCCATCTTGCAAAAGGCCAACATACATGAGAAAGAATAGTACTGAATGAATGATTAAATTATCTTGTCGATGCTGATACACAATTTAAAAAAAAGGGCTGAGAAGACTAAGAACCTTGGAAAAGTGAAGAACAGAGGACTGAAGAATTGCAATATGCTCTGTGAGGTGATTCTACTGATATGGGGCATATAAATGACGAATCTGATAGTTGATGTAGTGACCAAAATTTCCACGTAGACACGACCAGCAAAATCTTCGAATCTGACATGGGGTGCAGTCGATACCTTGGACGGATTTTGCGGGGAACTGGATCGGAGATGGGATAACGGTAAGGATCTCAACTGCGTAGCTGATCATTTTCCTTCCTTTTTTTGTACACTCAGCTGGTGAAGGGACACGGGCAAAATCGACTCATGCTTCCTCTGCTTATGGCCACGACGCTAATTTCCACCAGTCGATAACTGCCCATGTCGATCTCGAAATTGAATTTTGCACCATGGCTCGAATGGGTATTCCAATATGAATAACCATCAAACTCAGCCGAAGATGAAGAATCTTAAAAATAGAAGTAACCTAGGAACGGGTGAAATGAAATTGGGCATAGTGAAGGGATCAAGGGATTTGGTGCCAAGTGATTATTGGCTGTCGCAGCTTGCCGGCAGAGAAAGGAAGAACTGAAGAGGTGACTGGAGGTAGAATGAGCTCGCCTTAGATAGAACCAATCCCTACCTGATCAGCTAATTTTGGGCTTTTCAAATGAGATTTGGTTTGGGCTTTTAAGTGAATTCTTGTTACAACAAATTTGGTATTTATGTAGCTTTCTCTCCCAGGCTGCAATTAAAGAGGTGAAATATTCGACCAGCCCTTCGAAAATTCAAAACCCTGCAGCAATTTGGAGTTCTGAATGTGTATCCTTACATTTTAGAGATTTGTCATCTCAGTTTTGAATTTTAGGGGGTTTTTTTGGGAAGTGTGTCGAATTACAAGTTTTTATTCAACTATGGCCACACTAGGAGTGGTAGATGACTCGCTTACTATCATCAACAAACCAACGAAATGGGTGACAGAACTCAAAATTTCTTCCCAATGGAGTTTTAAGTCGTGAAATACATACCCGGGCAAGTTCATTATGCGACATCAACAAAGTTAGATGAACCTTTCTTTTTTGATGGGGATCATTAAAAGGTATATTGATTAAAGTTTGAGATTCTCTAATGGGTATTGATTGATAGTGAGTTGTTGAAATTTATTAGTTTTGGCCTAGGATGTTTTCAACCTCCCTCAGTTTCCACAGATAAAGGGTCTTAATAAGCATAAAACAGAGATTAGCAGAGACACATAAGACTTACATAAAAGGATAGCTCACAACAGTGAAACGGCGGAATACATATGGGATATGACCAGATCCAAAATAAGAAGAAAGAAAAACAGCACGGGTCGATTATTCTGGCTAAATAGTTCCACACAAATAAAGCAAGCACTCTGGCAAAGTACGTTGTGTGAGATGGAGCTTCGCACAGTAAAACCCTGAGCATGAACAAGGAAAAACAAATCGAGATTAGATTCGGAGAAATCGATTTTAGATCTGATTCCCAGATTCAGATTAATTATTTTTGATGATGAAAACAGTACTTAATTAATTGGTAGTCACCTTGATTATTAAGAGAAATCAGCCGGAGCCGGTCAGTCGCTGTCGCTGCTGCTGCTGCTGTCGTGTCCGCCGTCGTGGTCCTTCTTGTCCTTCTTCTTGTCCTTGTTCTTCTTCTTCTTCTTCTCGCCGTCGTGGGTGCCGGCGGTTTCCTTGTGGTCGCCACCGCCGCCGGGGAGCTTGTCCTTGATCTTGTCGATGATGCCTTCCTTGTGCTCGCCCTGCTGCTTGTGGGCGTCGCCGGAGTGCTGCTTCTCGTCTTTTGTGTCCTTGTGCTGTTCTGCTCCACCGCCCATGTGGAGCTTCTCCCCGATCTTCTGGATGATTCCCGCCATTCTTTGATCTCTCTGCACTTTCTTCCTCGGTTTAGTTTTAGTTGTAAGTGGAAAATATGAATGAAGAACAGAGTGCTGTGGGGTTCGCTCTTTATAGCCAACTAAATGCGAAGAAGAAAGGAGAAGACTATACGCAGAACGAACACGTACGTCTCGAAACGGGTCTCTTTCTTTATCATATCTCTGTGGATAATTAAATGGCATCAGATCTGGAAAGTTTATCCATTTCTCAATTATTATTATTTTCTACTTTAATAAATTGAAAAATACCGGTGGTCGACATGCATGCCACTTGTGTATACCATTACTTTTGAAGAAGTCGGTGGGTCATGCATGCCTCCGTATTAACTTGTTCTATGCTACACATCATAAATGCTCTTAAGTCTTACTTTGCTAAGGTCATTTACGATTTATTTTGAGTACTCAATCGAATAAATTTAGATCATCAATCAACAAGGAGGGCTTATTTAAGATTAAAGGCGGGGGAAAAAAGGCTGACTTGTTACCAAGTCACAAGTTTGATGATATGGTCGATCACATAGAAACGCAAACGATGTCAGAGACAGAAAAAAGGATTAGGTGTGTCGCTGTATATGATTAAAATATATGAACAAAAAATTAATAACTGGGTAATTCATATATGAAAAAGTGAATTGATGCAAACGTTGTCAAACTGATTTATACCATCATGTCGATTTGACAACTGGTATGGTTTGACTGATGGTAAAATCGAATTATATTAATTTATATTGGTTTTAGCTAAAATTCATGATACCAAAAAAAACAAAACATAACTTTCTACTGAACCTATGAGTTTGCTGAATCCATGACCCACATCGTTTTCACCAAACGACTCCTAAGGCCTCGTTTGGAGAATAGGAGTCTAAATCTCTAGATTCCAAACAATCAAATGTTCTAATTCTATGGATTGTTGGGGAAAAAATGAAATTTTAGTTGTCAAGTAAACGACATTGTTAACATTAAATAAAAATAAAAATTATATTTTATATTTAAAAAACAATAAGGATGGTTCGAAAAATATTGATAATTTATTGATAAAGGTATTTAGTGATATAAATGAAAAAAATATCTAGAAAGAGAAAAATATATATCGCAATAACGAAATGTGAATAACTCAAACGCCATGTTTTTGCCTTTTTGCCTTTTTTTTATGGGCCTTTTCCCCTTTACTTTATTGATAACTATATGGCACCAGATTTCTAGATAGGACACGCGGACGATCAGCATTCGCCCAGCCCGCTTGCCGACATTCATGGGGTGGGGCTATCTTCTAGGTGTGTGGGGCTGTTTATCTTCTGCCACTTGTCATTACTTTATTCCCATCTTCCTTTAAACCCTTTCTTTTTCTGTACACTGTATCAGTTTCATTCTTTTTATTCTTTATATTTCTTATATTCTTTCTTTATCTTGAAGTTGTCAAATTGGTTGTTTAGTAAGTGATATGCATAACGAAGTTGTTAAGGATAATATATGGATATTTTTCAATAATTGAGTTATTGAGATCATTTGGTTTATGACATGACATGGTATTAAAGCTAATTTATCATTGAGCTCACGTGTTCAAGTCCTCACGACCCCAAATATTAACTGTTTGTCTTTAAGCACATGGCGGGCCAGTGCAAACTTCAAGCCCATGAGCCGGTTTTCGTTTGAGAGGGTAAGGAAGTGGTTAAGTACCATACATGGGTCCTCTCCCAACAACTCGAGTTATTGAGATAAGTGGGTTTATGACAATATGATCCAATCAGAATACAATTTGTTTATATATATATGTTTATGTTAGTTCTAACAAAACATACAAGGAAGTGAGAACCATTCATAATTTATGCATTTATATATTCTATCTTAAGATAATATACCATTATATTAAAATTATATTAAAATAAAATACTATATTATAAATAAAAATAACAAATTATCATATTTAAAATGCAATATTTAGCGTCAACATTCAAATATTTATACTTTGAATCCAATAAATAACATAGCATCTAAATGTTCATAATTGAATTCAACAAATTTCTGTTTTTTTTTTCATTAGTTAATTCTATCAAAACCATGTCATTAACCATTCTGATCAAATCATTTTTTCTCAATTTTCATTATTTTTACCTGTTTTAACTACCGTTTCATACCGGTGATCTTCCATCTGATTTTGTAAAATTTTGATTGAATCTGGTTATATACCAGTGATTTAACCAATTGATTCCCTCTTTGTCGACCTTGCCAAAGAAGAAAAAAAATATCTTCCAACAGTCAACACTGGGTGGTGGCCCGGTTATTCGGCCCGCACACGACGGATTCATAGTCAAAATGTGATTTAAGTCTGGAACTGTTCAACCCTTTCCCAAGACAATTTTTAATCATGTAATTACCGACCCAAAATATTAATTAATAAGAATTAACGTCCTTCCCCAGGTTTCAACAGTCGATCCATGTGGGGAGATTTTGAAGGTTTTGATCCATCATCATCAACCAGAAATCATGATGAGATAAAATGGAGAGGAAACACTTAAAAGTAGCCTTTTGGAAATTGAGAAGTAGCATATGGATGTTACTTGTTAGCATTAAGCGGCATTATTTCATTTCTCTTAACTGTGACCTGCGTTTTGACGCCAAAACAGGATTTTTCTAGTATCAGCTTCATTCCAACCATAATCTGAGTCACACAAAAACATATAGAAGAAATCAGAAATGAAATCTAGACTATCGATATAATTAATTGATAGAGATGACCTAGCTAAAGATATAGTAATCCAATCCACTTTAGCATTTTGATTATGGGGGACTTCTCTGACTTTGATATGTGGGTTCTCCCAGCATAAAATCCGTCATCTTTGTGCACTAATTTAAGACCTTCTAATAGAGCTTTTGCTTCAATTTCAATTGGAGAAGAGCAAAGTATTGGATCAATCTGCTCATCACATACTTGTCATAGTTGTTAATGGCCACAACATAGTAAGTCGTCGACGGTGAGCCCCTTAAGAATTACCCATCACAGTGAATCACCAAACAATGATTACTTGCTGAAAGGATAGAGTGTGAACGGTTACCCTGGACTATATAAGTACTAAGGGCCAGGAGAGAGAGGTGATAGAGATAGATTAGGAATAATCTTATATTTCATTGTTCTTCTAGTATAGTTCTTAGTATTCTCGTGTCCTTCTAGTATTGTGGTTCTCTTACTTATTGTCCAAGTTTGTAATTTATATAAACCCCTTTGTAGTTTCATAATAATACAAGTTACTCTTCCTAAAACTCCTATAAGAAGGACCTCTTTGAGGGAGGGGGCAGAGATGGGAATGTGATACTTCTTGGGTACAAATTTCAATCAATAAAGTGCCTGCTAGTTTCCCCACAAGTGGTTAGAAGCCAAGGGTTTTGATTTTTGAAGACACTGTCATTTCTAATCTTCCAAATATTCCAGTAAAGAAAATTACATGAGTGATACTCTGGGGTTGAAGGAGATCCTTTAACAAATAAAACCGGTCCAAGAATGAAGGAAGTGGAAAGGGAGGGGAAGGGAGAGATAGGAAAAGAACATTTCAAGTGCAAATTGCACCGGGGGATGCAAAGAGACAATGGAAGAGTGACTCCTAACTAGCTTTGGTCTCTTAATGGTATATAGTATATGCGAATCACACTAGAGTATCACGTCATTGACTCAATATGGGACTAGGGTGATAATCATCCGAGTGAAACTTTCTCCACTAAATTCAACCTTGTTTTACTTGCATGTTTGTTAGTTAATCAGCTTAAAACAACATTTTCTACTGCTAGATAATTTATAGTTTGCTTAGGTAAGGATACATATAGCGCCCGGGTTTGATAATTCGAAAGATACTTTCTCTATACTACCTCGATTGAAGGTTCCACTTGACTTTGATTGAGAGTGTAGTTAGAACCGAGTCACCTGGGGTGACATGTCCATAGATGATCTCACATTTCCATGTTCTTTATTCTTGGTTCATCTAATCTGTGAACTTTTTGTTTTCCTATGGACCAATATCGATTTTGGAAATGTGAAGGAATGTACCCAATGTTCTGTGTCAATCCAGATATCTTCACCTGACCAAATAACTCTGTTAGAACGGATTGAGAAATCGACTATGCAAGAAAGTAAAGAACACATAGATTGACATGGTTCACTAACATGATATGTGCCAATCTCTAGAACTTTCATTGAGTCACAAAGGCTAGCCCATAACTAAGATGCCATGCTCCCCTTTTTGGCAGAAAGAAGAACTCCTCTGATGAAATAAAGATCTTCAAGCAAGCGACACCACCTGTTCTCATGTAATTAATAATTTTCCAAGTCTATTTAGCGAATAGAGCTAGTTTGAACTCACTAAAGCATTAGAAAGCCCAGACACATTTTATAGAGCATAGCATTTCTCTTATACACCAATGCAAGCTACTTTTTCTGCATGGATCCTGACCAAAAGAAGTTATTGAGAAGTTATTATGTCTTCTTCGTAGGAGATACTAGCAAGAGAAAGAAGCACAATAGATTTAGAAGAATCTCCTTTCCTCCGTGCGATAGGATAAGGCTCTTCCAAGATTCCCTCATCTTTTTACTTTCCTTGATTGAGGATGTAGAAGGTTTTTTTCTTTCATTTACACCACTTTGCTGGCACACCCAAATATTTTGAATGAAAGTAGGAGGAAGCAAATCCAATACGAGTGATTACCACTTCATTCGCCTCCTATGGAACATTGGCACTAAAGAAATCAAGAATTTATTGATATTAACTTAATGACTTGTGATAGCTCCATCCTCATTAATGATCCCTAAGATTATCTCCGCTTCATGCTAAATAAAGAGCTCTACATAAACTGATTACATCATCCACGAATAAACAATGAGCAAGGACATAACATCTTAGTTTGAGCTTACCCTTGATATGTTCCTCTTCTACCAATTTCTAAATAAGATAGGATATTACAATGGACATAATAATGAAAAGAAAAGGGGAGAGAGAGTCCCTATCGAATACCAAGAGATGGCAATAAAGACTCTATGGCCCCTCCATCGAAGAGAATTGAAAACTTCACCATCGTACAGATACAAGCTCGGGCCCATTTTCACCATCGATAATCAAATCCATACTTTTGCAAAAGATTTTCCAAACAATACCAATTCACCAAGTCATATTCCTTTCTCATATATAGCTTGACCATCAAGTCCCTCCTCTCATACTTATATTTTTAAATGGTGGAGAGTTTCATGAACTATAATAATTATTTCTTGGATCATACGACCCTTCATGAATGCAGTTTGAAGTTCTAAGACAAGAGAAGGAGACCACTATTTAATCCGATTTGCCAAGGTTTGGGATATGATTTTATATCTGAAGTTACAACAACTGATGGAGCAAAATTGGCTGATAAACTCAGGATGGTCATTTTGTGTGGCCATTAAAATGTTTGTATAAGGTATGTTTTCAGTTTGGAAGAAACCCTTAATCTCTCTACAAAGGGCATCACCCACTATTCCCCATAAGTGTTATAGAAACGACCCAAAAATCCATTTGGACCATTTGTTATCTCCTGGGATGAACACTACTTTCCTAATTTCCTAATTTCTTAGCATAGCACACATGTCTTCATCATCCTCCCTATAAATTTTCCTAGGGAAGCCTTGCAGAAGGTGCATGTGAGGTGGGTACATAGTCCCTCGCCTTTAATAACTCCTCGTAAAACTCAATCGCTTGATTCTTCAATCTAACTTTGTCTTTGATCCAATTACCAGCCTCGTCTTTAAGATGGGTTATTCTATTCTTATGCCTCGGATAGTACTAGATTAAAGAAAGAAGTATTTTGGTTACTTTCTTTCATTCCATTTCACTTTTGACCATTGGCACCAAAATGTTTCTTCCGTGAGCCATAACTTGTATAATTCCTCATACAATGTTTTCTTCTTCTATGTTGGGATATGCTCTATGATAGTGTTGAAGAATTTCCAGATGATCACGGATTTCCTTAGTTTTTTTATGAACTCATTTTATGTAAGTCATTCCACCTAGTTCTAAGATACCTCCCACATTGGTCTTTTTGGGTTAGGAAGAGCCTCCCGGATCCCAAGATATTGATACAACACCCCCACCCCCACATACTCTTCCTCTAAAGCCATCTCTCCTCCACTCTAAAAGTATTTCTTCTTCTACTAATAGTCTTAAAATAAAGATCAAAACTGATCGTGAAATGATCTGAATCCGCCATTTTGTTGGTTCAAGTAAAATCCCCACTTTAAAACCCAACTCGATGAGAGTGTTGTGGAATAAGAATCTCTTGGGCAGTTCCACATTCTAGTACTTACTAGGGAATCTATTGAGTGGTATCAATGCTTGATTGTTAGATCATCGATGCTATAAACTATAGTTATGGTTCGTAGAAGCCCACAGTTAACTATATGCTATCCTAACTTCATTATTCTTCATTAATTAGGTAATGACATGAACCGAAAGCACGCATTAGCTAGTTAAATCTATTTCACAAGCAGCTCATGTACGAATAGAGAGGGGCCTTAGAGGAAGGGATAGGGTGGTGCAATAGATGAACCAGTGGTGCATGATATAAATGATCCTTCGTTTGCTTGATCATCTTCGAGTTCACAATCTAGTACAATAACATATTCTTAATTTTATGCATCTATAACTTGAAAACCCTAAACAACTTTATTCTTCTTGCTTGCTGGTTCAATTTGTGTATGACATGTCGGTTGTTGTGAGTAGTTAGAAGACCTCGAGGAATACAACCCAAGGCACATTTAGGATTATCAGTTGTGTTTTCTAACATCGAATTCATGGAACTATTTCTGGGTATTTCTAATCATATATAAAAGCATCTAACCATCTTATGTCTTATATTGAGTCTTTTTGGTTCTATAGGATTTCGTATGAGTTCAGTAGCTACTAGAAGAAATGTAAAAAATCTAAAGATCATGGAAGAGATACTTTGATAAGGAGGAGTATCAAGTTTACCCATATTGGAGAGGAAGGAAGGAGCATCTAGCTCAGGAGAAGAATATCCCTCAAGACCCAACAATTTCGAGCAACCCTTGGAAGAGGAGGACAACATAGATGAAGACAACTACGATTCGAAGGAAGAAGGAGCATCTTCAACATCAACAATGGTCGGAGAAGAAGGACAAATACAAAGGGTCGTTCCACCAACTCTTTATGAATACTCAAGGCCAAGAGCATCCAACATCACCTCAAACATTATTGTGCCACCAATGACCATAGTGATTAGAACTCAACTCATCCAGATAGTGCAACAAGCAGGGAAGTTTGGGGGCAGGAATGATATTGATCTGATACAACACTGAAGACATTTTTAGATATCTTTGATTCCATACCAAGAGGTGATGCTAGCAAAGATGGGATCCGACTACAAATTTTCCATTCACACCTGGAGGAGGAGCAAAGAAGTGCTCGACAACCATCCACCAGTAACCTTCACCATGTGGGAGACCCTTTCACGCGCATTTATTGAGGATTACTTTCCACCATGGAAGATAGAAGAGCTTAAAGATGAGATAACTCAATTTCAACAAAAGGAAGGAGAAACTTTATATGATGTTTGGAGAAGATTCTAGAAGTATACAAAGCATGCCCACATAATGGATTCACATCAGACCAGATTTCATAGTAATTCGGCAAAAGCCTTGATCAAGACACCAAGATGATGGTAAACTAGCCGACCGATGGAGATTTCACAACAATGGTGGGAGTGCAATGCCAGTAGCATTTTGCCACACGAGCAAGAAATTCAAAGAACTGGTCCAAGCATCCATCGATGACTAAACCATTGAAAGCTTTCTAAGGAAAGAAGGATGATGTTGCCACCCTCTATGCATACGTGAAATAGCTTACTGAACAACTAAGAAAAAATTTAATGGAGCCAAAGAATGGACCGGTGGCATCCTTGTTCGTTTGTGAAGCATGTGGAGAAGAAGGTCACAAAGGATTCAAATGCTATAGCCATGAAGGGCAAAGACTTGTTGATGTCAATTATATAAATCAAGGCTGTCAATTGAGAACTCAACAAGGTAGTTATGCTCCTTATCAAAGATTCAACCAACCTCGCTTACCATATGGTCAATGGCCTGCTCCAGGAGGGAAGAAGCTCGACTATTACCACAACATCACCTCTACCAATTCACCCTATGTTCATGCAACACAATGGCAAAAGAAACCAAGTCCAGCTGGATTTGGAAATCAACCTCAATACAAGGGGACAAGGAGAAGGTGTCTCCAATCCGCAACCCATCATATTCGAGAAGCTATAGGTAACAATGATAGGATTCCAAATGAGCTACAAGAATATAGAAAGACAAATTGCACTCCTTATCAATGGTCAACCCCAAAAGCCTCAAAGCAATCTCCCACGCATCACAGAAAACAATCCAAAGAAGGAGGAAGTTAAGGTCATCTCGACTAGGATGGAAGCATCCAAGATTTTCCCATGTATGAAAAAGGAATAAGAGAAGAAGGAAGCTAACTATCCATCACTCTTCAGAAATTTTATAGAAGCTTTTGGAGGAGTAGAAATGGTAGTGCTAGGTAGACTTAGCAATCATTTGAATCGATAAATAACGAAATGGAGGAAATCAGGCATCAACACATATGAAATAAAACAGTTGTATTAAATCCAAATATCAAGCTTTACATGATGATAACCCCTAGGTTTCACATACCTACGCAACTAAAGAAACTAGCCAACCATGGGGAAGAGTTTCTAGGCGATATCGGTCGAGATGAAGTCCCCAGAACAACACTGGAATCGGTGCCCACAATAGAGAAAATAGAGTCAGGATCGCCGTGTATGGCGCTTATTCCTTCCATGAGGTTGGTTTCTCTCTAAGTCAGGTGAGTCGCTCTACTTACAAAGTAACGACCCTTCATTGACCTTTCATCTTCTCCTCTCGAGTTCTACCTCCAGAGCTCTATGTATAGATCTTCTATTAGGTTTTTAAAAGTGCTTCCTGAAATGCACAAAGCGCTACCAAAAAAGCATCAAACCCGCAAAAGCAATCTTAGGGTTGCTAAAACACACTTGAATCAATTGATAACACAATTCAAGGTATTATGACGATAATAATATGAAATGAATACGCTTTGAACCATAATACGGGGGGTCTATAATAGCTCATTCTATGTGTCATCAGGTTGATGAAATGAAGTAAGGGATGAAACTTTGGAATGTTATAGGCATGAAGGGTGTGGCGGTTGGACCCGACAAAGGGCCGCATGTGTTGGTTAACCTGATTTTTGTCGGTTTCCTTCATTTTTACATTAGTTCACTTACTTGGTTAGTACGAAAGTTAATTTTGTACAAGCATTCTTTATGAAATCTATTCCTTTCCAGGAGTTCTTTCAAAAATTTCTTACAAAATATATCACCTATCCAAAGGAGAAAAACTCGTTATAAGCATCATCCAATAGTACATTCAAAAATTTTACACCAAAATGGAGAAGAAAAGCTAGAAATATGGGATATCTCCTTGGTAGCACTTTTGTTTAACGTCATTAAGTTTGACGCTAGATATGGGTTGCCTCACATTAAGTGTTGTTTCTTTTATGCCTTTGAGCTAGGCATAGTCGTGTTCCTTTTAGTTAGATGACCATTCAAGATAAGATATACATTCATCACCCCGTTCACTTGTGTTTTACCTTATCGGACTAACTGGATGTGGACTGAATCCATTTTGAAGATGAAAACGTATGAAGTCTTGATAATCCTTCAATATTTCGCACTCCAGCTCCTTGATTCTTTCTAGGACTGCCTTGGGCATTGTATTAGCTATGCTAACTGTCTTCATGTATACATCAAATAAAGCAATGACCATTATCTTTTTTATGCTCATGTACTAGGATCATTTCTTCATAACCCCAAAGGGTTGCTTTGCTAACTTCATACATTTCCTCGATCTTATCTTCTTCCTCCAAGAGAATTTCTAGTTTCTCTTTTGGGTTCTCCATAGAGACAAGTTTCTCTAGCATTGGCATAGCTGTCTTTGCTCCTCCTAGAGCTCCTATCAAATCTAGAAAGGGAGATGAGTAGTAATCATCCTTCAAAGTGTCGATCCTCTTCTGTTTCTGCTTCTCTTCTCATTTCTTGCTTTGGTGGTTCTTGGATGCTCCTACTATCATTGGGATAGCGTTGACCTCTTCCTTTGTATTATTTTGCATTGCTGGAAAGATTCCCTTGAGGATTTTATAGTCTAGCATCAATCATGATTGCAAATTGACATTCAATGTTCAGAAAGCTTTCTTGCATACCATGAATAATTGCTTCTAACTTCCCAAACTGTCCCAAACCGATTAGGTTGGTGGGTTAAAGAACCTCTTTCGTGCTCCTTATATTGCGGTTGGCTCCCACATTCGGGTGGAAGCCAAGTAGCATTTGTGGAGGTGATTTTTGGATAATCGTCTAGCTCTCCTTATTATATTGTGTGCTATTTTAGCACTCAAGATCCCTATTTTAGGTTTTTGGCTTTTTTAAAAGACTATTAGAGAGCATTTGGGGCTAGATTTTAGCATTCTATTTCTAGACCTGTATTGGAGACGGCTAGCCATTTTTTCACCCAAAAAAAAAAAATACTACAAAAAGTAGAATGAAAAATATTTGTTTGACGCACTCACTCAATGAGCATTGAGTGCACAAGATTAACACCATACCCGCTGTCTCTATATAGTCTGAACGAAACAATTGACTGTCCTGTAAGGAAAAAATCGTGAAGCTCAAGTCTCCAACCAATGCTAGATGTCAATGAAGTGAATTAGATAGAACAAAACATTCTGCACGAGTGAACTCGGAAGTAGAAACTAGTTAGGAAACAGATGAGAACCATTACTGTATGAGTTTCACAACTTACATAAAAATGTGAAGCTTTATATTAACATGATTCTCCACCAGCTTCAACGCAGCTGCATTCACCAATCCATCCCCACCACCAACCTTGTTATTTCATAACTGGAAGGGCTACAATTACAAAGGTCGGACCTTTGTCGATGATCCATTTTATCATTTAGCTTCGACATCATCGAATCACCCCATGCAAATTGGCACCATCAAGCCTAGCACCTTCCAGATGCTGCGTTAAAACACACACAACCAAGAGTTGGTTCTTTTCTGAAACAACATCAACCGACTACAGAATCATGGTCCACTAGCTATCCTTACCGTGTTCTGAAAGTTGACTTGTCGCAAATAAGCACGTTGCAGGTTTGCACCCTTTAAATTAGCGTTGATCAGTTTTGCACCCTGACACAGAATCTTGGAAAATCAAGAACCAAATCTTAACAGAATCTTGAATCAGAAGGAGAATGCAAAAGCAGAAAAACACTTACCTTCAGATTGGCTCCTTCTAGGTTTGCCCCCTCCAAGTTGGCATTGGTAAAGTCAGCAGTCTAATATCAATATCCAAATAGGTCATGCATAAAACTCTAACCCACATTGACAGTCGATAAAACAATCCAGGAGAAAGAAACCAGAAAGGGACTTTGGTAAAATCTAAGAATACTAGCAAAATCTGATCTATTACAAATTCAGATGGCAGAAGCGACGGCTTTTAAAGGTTATCCAGGCAGTCGATAGGAAACTGAACAGATATGCCAAATTACCAAATACCAATCAAAGGATGACATTCAAAAAAACCTTGATAAAAGATAAGTGGCCCTTGTCTATATTAAAGGGGAAAGGATAATAAACCTGTAAGTGAGCTGTGCGTAGATCTGCCCCACAGAAACTGCAATCTATTAAACAAGCATCTGCAAGTAGCTCAAAATGGAATTCGAGCTGAGAATAGTCAGTTCAAATAAAGCAAACCCAGTGACAAAGTTATCGGCCTACACAAAAGATGTGAGGCGTGCACAGCCTAAAAGATGGCACCAGGGTTCCCCATTGTTGGACCGATTTTCAAGACAAAACCTTACTCCAAGACCATATGAGAATCTAAAAATGAAAACACTAACAAACCATATCCTGAACTGCTGAAAGGCCGGTAAGATGGAAAAAGCTACCTTGTAGATTTGCACTCTGAAGATTAGCCCCGGCTAATACAGCGCCACGTAGATTTGCACCAGTAAATTCACATCTTCCTAGGCATTATACAAATATCACGATGTCTATTTGGGACAAGAGTCTAAATAAAAGGAATCCAATCAAGAGCAACTGACTTACTCCCGCAAAGTAGCATTATGAAATATGGAACCCTCAGCATCCACATCCTATCATGCAAAATATGTAAGGTTTAGTTGATTCATTAGGCATGCACAATGTTAATGTACTTAAAGTAAGGAATCAGCTGAATATAGACCTTGAATTTAGCACACTGAAGATTAGCACGTGAGAAGAAGACATTCTTGAGACAAGCAAAGCTGAAGTCAACGAACGATAGATCCTGCAAGCCATGAACCTTAACAATCATTATATTATCCTAACTGGCAAAGTCTCATTTGCCAATAAAAGAAAAACTAAAGTAACTGAGCAGAAGTCTGCAGTATTTGTTCCATTGACAACAATTCCAAAAGAAAACTCTCAACATATGAAGCATTCTCTTTTCAATTCGTTGATGTTTCTGGCTTTTTATGAAGGTAGCAGCAATAGAAGATCAACGAAATCTTGAAGTTTCATAGGCATCTGAAGTCATTGTCAATAATTCATGAACAAAATTGTTCTGAATGCAAGAAGACAGCATTACAAAGGAAAAAGTAAATAAATTTATGATTTTCATGAGATATACACAAAACTGATTATGAGTTACAAAAAAGGACCAATCACATCCAACTAGAATAAAATAATAAGAAGGTACAGATTGTAGAAACGATATCTGTGAGTACTACGGAAATTTTACCAATTTGGAGAGGTCTAGGCCAGAAAGATTAAGCCCTCTAAACCGGACCCTCTCAGACTGTATACACTTGATGATATCTGTTCTTGTCAATTCAGTATCTAGATCATCAGCTTCCTTCTTCTTATTTAGAGCAGAATTGATTCCCTCTATAAGCCCCTGAATTAGAAAGATGGCACATCAAATAGTTTCTGGAATGAGGTAATCAAAACAATGTGGGTAACAAGATAATAGAATAATGAAGAAGCAAGAACATACAGGAGTAGAAAAGGAAGCAAGAAGAATATGGACATACAAGTAGCTGATAGTATTCAGCCTCTCGCATAAGCTCCGAATATTCCACATCTGATAGAGTGGGGACTACTCCATCCCTCAACCAATTCAGAACATGCCTAAAATGCTTCCCATCCCTATCAACAAAGATCTGTCCCTGTGGAATGCAACACCATCGACTAGTCAATTCAAAGAAACTTATAAAAATATAACGATTTTTTTACTTCTGTGTTTGCAGATTCTTTCCATCAAAGCAAGTTCCACAGACATATTGACAAAAAGGATTGCATGTAAGACCCTTCGTTCACTTCTTCATCATACAGAACTAAACATAAAGCGATCATCACTTCTAACTACCATCATGAGGCTGTTGAGAGTAGAAAGCCATACCGAATCAGAATCCTGACACAGAGTATGTCGACCACTGAACATTGCTGCAAGCATGGACTGCGGCTCTCGATTCGTCAGAGTGTCAACGGTAGTGGAAAATTTCTTCCCTCCTACAGGTAAAAGTTAAAACACATAAAAAAAACGAATTAGGCCATTCAGAGGGTACATACAACAGATAGTAAACAGACTATCAACTCACAACTATCCCCCACAGATTAAGCAGCCGAGCGAGTAACCAACTCAGACAACTAGCATTTCAAAAATACGGCACAATAAATTGATCAAACAACCAGAATAATTATGTAAAAAGGACAAAATTCTGGCTATCCAAACAGAGAAAGGTTCTCGATCGGCATTGGACACGATAACAAAGCAAATTAAAAATTACAGAGTGAATTAGGGTTTAAGTTCTTCGAAATCAGACTGTCATGCTGAGGCGGAGAAGGGAATAAATTGAGAGAGAGCTAACCGATGTTGAGACGGACGATCGAAGAACTGGGATCTTTCGTCATTATTGGTACGGAACTCTTACAGTGAAGCCGTCGGCAGGCGGTCTTCCGGTGAGGTTTTCAGATAGAAGCCCGCTTCCAAGCGTAGAGCGAAGTGAAGCTAAGTTGCTGGGAAGTGCGAATTGCGATCGTCAGCGAGACGCGCCAAAGAAGAACCGATGCCTCACAACTCACAAGTGAAGTCACAATAAACTGGAAATTGGATTTCACAAAAAAACAAAATAAAAAACTAGAAATTGGGCCAATTTATATTAATGGTCCCTTAACTTTGGGCTTGCAAATTGATCAATCATGGAAATTTCATTTTTTTTATTAATGATCAGTCATGGAAATTTCATGTTAGCATAATTTTTACTAAAGATTGGAATAACATTTAGGGCTAACATTGTCGAAAATACCATTCTTTAGCGAGTGTGCCACTTATATTACGCAACTTCAACAATCACATTAATATTTCAAATTATTGGGGTCTCAGTCATTTCTGTTCCACGAATTTATGTTAACTGTTAGAACTAATGGTTGACCTGGTCAACCTTAGTCTGACCATTGATTAAGTATATGTCGTCCATGTATGCAACACGTTGATGCAATGTAGGAAAATAGTATTAAAATTTAAATTAATTAATTTATAATTAAATAATTAATATTTTTATAGAAAATAATTTTGGTTTATTTTGGAGTGTCTGTCGTCGACCCACGAACTGGAGTTTCCGTCATGAACTCTGCAACTCGACTGTCTGCTGGTCCCACCTCTCGAGCTTCCAAATCATTGAGACAGAGAACTCTGTCGTCGTCGTTGATATCCTCAGGATCTTCTTCACTAGCAGGGGAACCGTCAGAGAGTTCCCCCAACGCAGCGGCTCTGCCTTTTGAATAATCACAGAGCTTGTCCAGAATTCCTAACCCCTTCTCGCTCGCGCTCTACTCTTTCGAGGAGGAAATTATCATCTCCAAGTGGAACAAGACAGAGTCGGCTTCGATTAGGGATGATCAGAAGCGGCCGCTGAATTTCGAGGTTGGGATCTAGAGGAGCTGGAAGATTAGGGTTAGGGAGAGCTTGGTTACGACGGGGGAGATTGGTGATCTCAGGAATCCAAAGAGAATACGGTGTAAATCTTCTATTTCCAATATCAATTCTGCATATCTTTCTCGATTCGAGGAAGATGAAGACACTAGCAATCCATTGAGTGCGATGAGTGAATTATGCTTCGCGGCGATTATGTTAGTGTTGTGGTATGTGATCCACGATTGAACCTCTCCCAACAACTCGAGTTATTGGGATCAACTGGTTCATGACATAGTATCAAAGCCTTCTGTGACCGAGAGGTCTTGTGTTCGATTCCCGGTGACCCCCATTTGTTAAGCACATTGTATTCTTGTCTTCACACCTGTGCAAACTTCAAGCCCTTGTGAGTGGCTTTCGTTTGAGGGGGCGTGTTAGTGTCGACGAAGCGAGGCGGTTGCGAGCCTGCTGCTACTTCTCCTCCTCCACCGCAGCAAGTCATCGTATACATCCAGCTCATCAAGCATAGCAGCTCCTCCATAACTACTGTGCGCCTCTCCACGGAATCCCTCACGAATATGTCGAGCGAAGCGGTGAGCACAATGGTAGTGCCATTGGAGGTGATGCAAAATCCGATTATGTTTGCTCTCGTTCCCCCAGTTTTCGATCTTCCTTAAGCATTCCTGGTAGTCATTCGCTTGCTCGAGATATCCAGCCGGGAGAGGATAGCGGCGAACTCGTTGGCGGAGATAGGGACTCGCGACGTGGGGATTTTCTCAACTTTGAATTCAGGTTATGTCAATCTTTTGCAACAAGTGTACGATTTAGGAGGACCAATCGAAGAGTACGAGAGGATAGGAGAGTTTGATGGGTTGGTGTTCGGATTGAGGAGGACCGACCAGAACCAAATCTCTGGCCATTCCCCTCTTTCCAAGGAGTTGATGGAGCGGTGGATGGGAAAGACTATGGGGGTTTTGGGTGTGGCAATTTTTGTTTTCTTTATTTTATTTTTTATTAAAAAGTTCCAGGTCAGTGAACTATATTTTTTGTTAACCTCTAACGAAAAACTTGACGGTTGGTATACAAATGACATATCGAAAGTTTCATAATATAAGTGACACTCTTGCTAAAGATTAGTATTTTTAGTGATATTGGGCTTGACGGTTGGTATACAAATGACATATCGAAAGTTTCATAATATAAGTGACACTCTCGCTAAAGATTAGTATTTTTAGTGATATTGGGCTTAACGTTTATATTAAGTTAATCTTTCCTTCTTTATTTTCTTTACGTCGAAGTTGTGGTTGATATAGACTTTCTTGAGTTGGATCCTATAGTTGAATAAAAGTGATCTCTAGAGACAAATTTCTCTTGTGACAAAAACCTACAAAAAGGTCTTTCGACTGATGGTAGAGAAGACACCCTCGATGCTCAAGTTATTGGTTTAGATGACAGAAATATGACCTTGAATACAAAGATGAGAAAATGGAGTTTTAAACCAACGCTTTCGTTAATCATAACTGGAGTTAGGGGTCTGAGCTTTTTCCCACTTACCTTTACTTGGAGATTTGATGACGTTTAGATACGGTTTTTCCAAAACACGTCCTCTTTTTATCCCACCAACACATGAACATCCAAAAGACGATGTTCTGCATCTAACACTAATAATATGGAAAGCTTATGAATGTTTGATTCGGGTTATGAAATCTAACCCTAATATATATGTTCACCATGATACTGTCATGAACCAGTTGCTCCCAATAACTCGAGTTGTCGGGAAAAGGTTATATTAGATCTTATACCACTCTCTAACACGCCCCCTCAAACGAAAGCCAACTCATGGGCTTGAAGTTTGCACAGGCTCACCATCCATTGTGCTTTAATCAACTATTAATATTGGGGGTCGTGGAGATTCGAACACACGACCACTTGGCCAAACTAGCTCTGATACCATGTCATCAACCAGTTGCTCCCAATAACTCGAGTTGTTGGGAGAAGGTTATATTAGATCTTATATCACTCTCTAACATATACGAGCACAGAACATGTACCCGTAGTTATCAAAGTATGCAGCTCCAAGAACAAACAATAGAAAGACTATTTAGGGTGCTTTGTTTGTTTGGGATAAGATAGAATTGAAAGTGCAATCTCAACACAAACCGGGAGAAGGCTCAATCAATATAGAAAGGTAGAATCTCGACCACAATCAAGGGGAAAACTTGATTGATATAGAGAAAAGTTCAAGCCTCAAACTCAAAACCGAGTTTCAGCCTTTATATAGGTTTGGACAATTAAAAATAACAAAAATAGTTTAAACACACAAATTCCCGTCAGCCGTCACCCAGACAAAATACCCGGTCAGCCCTAAAAACCTACAAAGATGAGACAAATTTCTCTTGTGACAAAAACCTACAAAAAGGTCTTTCGACTGATGGTAGAGAAGACACCCTCGATGCTCAAGTTATTGGTTTAGATGACAGAAATATGACCTTGAATACAAAGATGAGAAAATGGAGTTTTAAACCAATGCTTTCGTTAATCATAACTGGAGTTAGGGGTCTGAGCTTTTTCCTACTTACCTTTACTTGGAGATTTGATGACATTTAGATACAGTTTTTCCAAAACACGTCCTCTTTTTATCCCACCAACACATGAACATCCAAAAGACGATGTTCTGCATCTAACCCTAATAATATGGAAAGGTTATGAATGTTTGATTCGGGTTATGAAATCTAACCCTAATATATATGTTCACCATGATACTGTCATGAACCAGTTGCTCCCAATAACTTGAGTCGTTGGGAAAAGGTTATATTAAATCTTATACCACTCTCTAACACGCCCCCTCAAACGAAAGCCAACTCTTGGGCTTGAAGTTTGCACAGGCTCACCATCCATTGTGCTTTAATCAACTGTTAATATTGGGGGTCGTGGAGATTCGAACTCAACGACCACTTGGCCAAACCAGCTCTGATACCATGTCATCAACCAGTTGCTCCCAATAACTCGAGTTGTTGGGAGAAGGTTATATTAGATCTTATACCACTCTCTAACATATACGAGCACAGAACATGTACCCGTAGTTATCAAAGTATGCAGCTCCAAGAACGAACAATAGATAGACTATTTAGGGGGCTTTGTTTGTTTGGGATAGGATAGAATTGAAAGTGCAATCTCAACACAAACCGGGAGAAGGCTCAATCAATATAGAAAGGTAGAATCTCGACCACAATCAAGAGAAAAACTTGATTGATATAGAGAAAAGTTCAAGCCTCAAACTCAAAACCGAGTTTCAGCCTTTATATAGGTTTGGACAATTAAAAATAACAAAAATAGTTTAAACACACAAATTCCCGTCACCCAGACAAAATACTCGGTCAGCCCTAAAAATACCCGGTCGGGTATTTATCCCCACGTCCGGGGGGCTTCTGACCAAAAGAGATAGGTCACTGCCAAAATACCCGGTCGGGTATTTGGCTTCCTTGGCCGGGTATTTATCCCCACGTCCGGGGGGCTTCTGCCCAAAAGAGACAGGTCGCTGCCAAAATACCCGGTCGGGTATTTGGGTTCCTTGGTCGGGTATTCCCTCTGCGCCATCCCTTCTTCCGCTGCTGATGGGGCCGCATCAGTCCCTCCCCGTTGGAGAAGCTTTGCCCTCAAATCTGGTGTTTTCCTGCAAGAGATGACATCAACAATATTTCTAAATGAACTTCTCCTCAATGCAATCAACATGTTCCTTCGCACCATCAGATGCGCTCCAGTTCCGTCCTCCGACTTCGAACACCTTGAACTTCCCGGACTTCAGCTGGTGACAATGGATTTAGCATGAACTTTCGGTCACCTCTCTTGAACTGGTAGTTGTTGTGCCTTCCATCATGAATAGGTCCTCGATCATATTGCCACGGATGACCCAATAAGAGATGAGCAGCCTGCATTGGAGCAACATCACACCAACTCTCATCTACATAATCACCGATATGAAAACAAACCTTGGCCTTCTTGTTAACTTTGATGTTCCCATAGTCGTTCAGCCAATGCAGAGTGTATGGTTGAGGATGCTTGATGGTGCTCAACCCCAGCTTCTTGACTTCATCCAGACTAATCACATTGGTGCAGCTACCACCATCGATGACTACAGACAACACCTTCTCGTCGACCAGGC